GGGTGCTGCTGCTGCGGGGGTCCCGGCTCGTACAACCCCCGGATCAGGACGGGCGTACGAGGGAGAAAGCAGCTGGTGGCAGGACCCCATCCCGGGCTGCTGCCCACCCATCGCCGGTGTGCTCAGGAGCCTGACCAAACACCGATGCGCCAACTGCAACAAAAGAGGCGACGAAGCAGGTTTGAGGGTGAATTCTATTGAAAAGAATGAATTTTATTGAAAAGAATGACTGGGTTTAATGGGTACAGACCACTCTCAAAAATACAAGGCTAGAGGGGCTACCAATACGTGTCAAAATCCTCGTTCACCTTAAAGCCAAGCTGGTTCCCCCCAGGGCTGCCGTTCCCCCCTGCCATGGCAGAGGGGACGCAGCAGGACAGGAAAGCCTCGGATGTGAAGAGGGACAGGCAAGACCCACGTCGAATGAAGCAGAGCAGACGGCACACGGAGGTGTTGTGTTTGCCTCTTCAGCAAAGCCTTGCTTCATCCACAGGGGCCCAAGCCCACCCCAGGGGCATCTCCTCAGTGTTTGAAAGGGCAGATGCTCCCTTTCCCCAAAATACAGGAATGGGGACTTTCTCCAGGAGGAGAAATGCTGCAAGAAAAACCCAACCAAACATGAAAAAAAAAAAAAAAAATCACCATTCCCCAAAGCACCAAAAAAGGGTGAGATAAAGGAAGGGGAAAGGGGTCGAACCAAGGAGAGAAGGGAAAAAACAGAAGCTCAACATCAAAACAAAAACCAATCCGAAGTAACCAACTATGGGGAAAAAAAAAAAAATACAATTGTACATCTCAGCTGCAGGGCTGTCAAACCTACAACTGTACATCTCAGCTGCAGGGCTGTCAAACCAAGGGGGTAAGGGTGCTCCCGGAGAGCGTCGGGTGGTTTGCAGAGCAGGATCGAGGAGGGAGACGTGGAGAACATCAATCACTTTATTTTATAAGAGGTGGGGGGGCAGAGTCAAACCGAAGGGTTTGTCCAGCTGGGCCTGGGCTGATTTTCTTGGGGTTCGTTGACTCGGGGAAGGGGATCAGAGTGGTGACAGGGGGAAAAGCGCTTCCCCCAGGAGCGGCTCACAGGAATAGATGGTGTCAAGCAGCCCTGGAGCAGCCCTGTTCCCGGGCAGAGGGTCCCCAGCGCCGCTTCAAACCCCAGGCTGCAGGAGTGGGGAGCAATGAATTTAAGGGGACATCACTCTTCATTGGGTGGGGGACCCTGAACGCTGGAAATGCACCCTGAAATCCAGACGTCCAGGGCATGAATTTCAGGGAAAACATTTTTAAAAGATTCAGTTGAAAAATAGATGCTTTTTTTTTTTTTAAAAAAAGTCTTAGGCCAGGGTGTCATCTTCTAGTGACCCCTTCCCCACCACCCCAAGTTTAGCCAGAAAAATGCTAGCCAATTCACCAAATCTGCTGGCCACATAGACATTCACACATTCATCATTGATTTAAAAATATATAATATATATATAGCTCGCACACATACACAAATATATATTAGAAAAGAAAAAAAATCCCTCTGAAAACTCAATCTATTAAAAAAACAACAAAATCCACAGCCGGTGCGTTTATCCCGTGATCACGTACAGTAGAAGACAGAAATCCCTTTTGCTCCCGTAGCTCCTTGCAGAGTGCTCAGGCTGTGAGAGTGGGGAAACACATCAGGTTTTCACAGTGGATTTGTTAGCGGAGAAGGAACTGCTCCTCCCTCCTCCCACACAGAAGGGCTTTAATTTATAGCAAGTTAGATTAAAACTAGGAAACATGTTACAAAGTCCATTATATATAGACATAAAATGTACAACTGTTGGCAGCCCCCGTGCGAGTCACTGGGGTTTCGATCTCGGCTGACACCTCGGCGGGCAGCTGGAGGGTTCGAAGGCAGTTCGGGACACGAGGGGTGCAAGTACGGCCTCCAAAACGAGCGGGTGTCACAGTGCGAGGTCTTACGTGAGCTCCAGGTTGGAAAGGAGAGGGAAATGGAGTCTTCTCCAGGAGCCAGGGAAGGCAGAGGCAGGGGCGGCGAAAGGCATTAGATGCCCGGAGGGGGGATGCATCCTCCCAGCCCAGGGCTGGAGGGGAGAGAGGCAGCGCCCGGGGACCTGCTTGTCTCTCCATCACCTTGTGCCCATGTGAGGAAGGGAGCACTGGGTGCTGGATGAAGTCCCATGGGCAGGCGTGGGGAGAGCGTGGGTCGCAGCTTGCGTCAAGGTGAGCTCATCGCAAAATGCTTCCCCCCTCCGCTCCCTCCAAGGGAGTGGCGTATCGATTGAGGGAGGGGGACACCCGGTCTGGTGCTGCCTCGAAGGGTCACTACGATGTCGAGCCAGGCATTAAAACAGCCTCTGGTGTGAACAGCGGCATGCCCAGGGAGCCCCACAGCCCCCCAAAAAGCTGCGTAGGCTCCTGGGGGCAGAGAGCCAGGCACAAAGGGAAGGCGAGCGAGACCAGACGCCAGGGAAGGGGCTTTAGGCAGGCAGGGGAGAAGAGTTGGGCAGGCGCAGCAGCAGTTTTTCTCTCTGCTTTTCCCAAGCAGCAAAGAAACACAAACCCCCTGCGCTGTGCACCAGGCTGCTGGGGAGGGGAGATGCCCTCTGGCACCCTCTGCCCCGGCTCAGGCGCCACAGGCACAGTCCTCTCCCAGGAGGGATACACTGGCGTCAGCAGGGAACTCCCGAGCCTTCGGTTCTTTGTGGCTTAGTTGGAAAGGTGTTAGCTTCAAAAGGCTCATCCTGGGGGGATTTCATTTACAGGGCAAAGAGAAAAGAGATTGTGAGGCCGGATGGGGCCAGAGATGCCCACGGGTTGGGGAAGTGCGATTTGTGCAAACCACCGTTAACTCGAGTCCTCATTCGCCCTTCTGCGGGGAAGCCGGGGTGGAGGGGACTGCACGAAGCTGTGAGGTTTGAGTTAGGAGTCCTCCCCGAGGATCTCTGTCACGAAGGAGGCCATGTCAGTCTCTTTGGTGTCGTGCAAGGTAAAGAAAGGGTGTTCCTGCCAACAAGATCAAAGACAACATCAGCTGACACCCAAGGACAGACAAGCCCAAGAGCAGTCCCTGGGGCATGTCACGCAGCTGGCGAGGTGCTGGGGGAGAGGCGGACACCAGCCTCCTCCCCAGGCTCCCACGGACGCCATCCTTTAGCTTAAAGATTAACTAACGCTTTCAGGTTTGGCGTTTCTAGGTTCAACCCCAGCGGGACAGCCCACCTTGGCAGCTGTACTACCATCATTTGAGGTCTAAACTCACCAAGAGCAGATAGAACAGAGGTAGAAAACACCTAGAAACCCTGACCTTAACACCCGTGAAATCAACACACCCATCCCGCTCTGTGCCTGAAAAATCACCCACACGCCCTGTTGTCCCATTTCCTAGGACCTGCTGGACCATGCATTTGACTTTTGAAACGCACTGCGATAAAGACCAGCAGAAATGGCTTCGCACTTACCATAAGTTCTAAATAGTTCATTCGCTCAGCGGGGTTCTTCCTTAAGCTGGAAGACAAAAAATGGGAGAGAAAGGCTGTAGGATTTTTTTTTTTTTTTGGTTTTTTAACTAACGCTTTCAGGTTTGGCGTTTCTAGGTTCAACCCCAGCGGGACAGCCCACCTTGGCAGCTGTACTACCATCATTTGAGGTCTAAACTCACCAAGAGCAGATAGAACAGAGGTAGAAAACACCTAGAAACCCTGACCTTAACACCCGTGAAATCAACACACCCATCCCGCTCTGTGCCTGAAAAATCACCCACACGCCCTGTTGTCCCATTTCCTAGGACCTGCTGGACCATGCATTTGACTTTTGAAACGCACTGCGATAAAGACCAGCAGAAATGGCTTCGCACTTACCATAAGTTCTAAATAGTTCATTCGCTCAGCGGGGTTCTTCCTTAAGCTGGAAGACAAAAAATGGGAGAGAAAGGCTGTAGGATTTTTTTTTTTTTGCTGTATGTGGTCTATCACAAGGGATCTCCCCTTCCCAACCAACGTGACATCCTTCTCATGGGCAGCACCCATTCCTCTCCCTCCTCGGCCAGCAGGTTTGAACCACCAGCAAAGCAGCCAGGCAGGTAACTGGGAAAGGCCAACTCATGGTGTTTTGCCACAAAATACGCAAGCCAAGCAGCTCGCTGCAGTCTGCTCCATACAGCCTCGCTTGTCCGCACAGACCAGAACAAACAGGGAGGAGAGGAGATGGCTTCTCACCATCTATAGGGTGGGCAGATCACCTCAAGACTCGTTCGAGCCTTGCCTCGGTGGGCTCACCCCTGCCTGGCAGCTCCAAGCAGCACACAGGGAGCAGAGGGACACCCCGAGGGGAGCAGCTACTGTACTTAGCACCCACAAAACCATAAATCAGCTTTCACCCAGAGGCACCCAGATGCTGCCAGGGGTTCGTTCTCATTTCGTTGCCGCTTTGCAGGAACCACCAAAATTTCAGCAGCAATGACAGCAAAAGGAGAAGAGAAACCTCTGTGCCTTCCAACCAGCCTGGGTGAGTCAGGCCGAGAGCAAAACCAGTCTGGGCAGCGCTTCCTGCCGCGGCCGAGCACCAGCCTCCGTACGGTGAGGTGGGGGGAAATGGGCTCCAAAAGGACGACAAACCCAGCCCCACACTTTGCTCCAACCCCCACAGACCAGAGCTCCTCTTCAGTCAGGCTGGGAGAAGCCAACAGTCCCTGCCGGAGACTCACCACTGCGCCGTAAAGTCCACAAACTCCTTGGAGAAGCGATCGGCGGGCAGCTGGGGCGAAGGCTCCTCCACCACTTGCTTGAGCTGCTGGAAGGGGGTCCCCCAGGACTCGTACGGGAAGCGAAGAATGGCCAGTTCGATCTGAAGATGGAGACAGGCTGACATGAGACACCAGGACGAGCGCAACCCCACGCAGCCTGCCTACCTCAGCCTCTGCAGCCAGCTCAGATTCAAAATGAAAAAGCTCTTTCCTTACAAACTATTTTCAATTTGGGTCATACCACTTTGTATTTAAAAAAAAAAAAAAAAGACCCAGAGGAAAAATACTTCCTTTTGAGGCTCACTCAGCATATTAATGCATTTACAGGAAGCCACCAAAGATATGTAAAATGGGATTATTTAAACAGATAATAACAGCACGCCATTTCTGCACCAGCTTCCGAAGTGCTTTGCTCTCCATAAGCCAGCCTCTGGGTTTCAGACTAGTACTGTATGAGCTAGACACAAAAAAAAAATCCACAAACCCAAGAAAAACTAAGTGCTAGAACATCACTTAGGAAGATCTTTGCCAAACCACCTCCATTACCGGGTCCTTCCTACAAGTCACCTCTGCTCTGTCACCCATTCAAGCAGGAAAAAGCCCGTCACAGCTCTTGGGCAGTCGCCTCATGCCAAGGGTTGGCTCCCAACTCGAGACAGGCAGCAGAACCTCCAGACCTGCCTGGCAGGGCGGGACGGGACGGGACGGGAGGAATGAGAAACCTGAAAGGACGCAGGGCAGAGCCAGGGACCCCCGCCTGCCTCTGGCTCAGGCCTGGGGAGCTCAGCTCCTGCTGCTGGAAAACTGAATGAAACCAACAGCCCAGAAAGGCATGGATTAGCCCTGCAACTCAATGGCCCTCAAACCGGGCGGTCTGAAATCAATCAAACCCCTTCAGAAATTAAAAAAACAGGAAGCCAGCCCAGGAGGAAGACGTTAGAGGGAATCAGACAGGTCGGGGCTCCATTCAACTGCAGGCTGGCAGGCTTTCAGCAAGGTCCCCTCTCCCATCCAGCTTTGGAAAGGCTGAGAGATTTCGTCATTCACGCAATCTCCCATCCCACAGCTTCCTGCATTTTGGGAGGAAAGCCGGAGCTGATTACATTTCCAGCCAGCCAGCCCAGCTCTGCTCTGCACTGGCATGGGGACACCAAGGAGAGGGGCTTGGGTTTGGCACTGCGGACAAAACTAGCTGGGGAAGAGGGAATATTTGCCAAGAGGTCTGTGCAGCGCACACAAACGCAGGGATGCAGCGTCCAAAACAAGTCACAGCTAACAGGGCACAGGAAAAATTCCTGAAAATAATCTACCCGCAGAGAGACAGTCTCCTGGAAAGCGAGAGACATGTTCCCAGGTGGCATCCCCTTCGAGCCAACAGCTGGGATTTCCTTTGTCCTCTGGCGCCAGAAGATTTCAGCTGCTTTCTGCAAGATCCGTTCCTTGCAGGAGGTAGATAAACCATCCTGAGCAGCTGATGGGATTTTGGAACTGAAAGTATTTCCCCTTCCTGTTGGCTGCTCTGAGCTACCCTTGAGGCAGGACTTGCTGCAAACCATGCACAGCACCCCTTGCTGCAGCAGGGCAGGCTAACTCGCCCCGGTCCTCCTGCAAGGCTTTGCTAACACGGGAGGGGAGTGCACGAGGAAGGCTGTGACCCAGCTGCAGCAAACCCTGCTCCACTGACTGCCTCTCCAGCCCGCGCACGGGGAACCGCAGAGCAATTAAAAGCCAGACTCTTGGATGCCCAGCTAAGCCCACTGTCATCCAGATATTGCTCCCTGGGAGCCTGCCATCCACACCAACAGAGTTCAGAGCTAACTGGAGCTATTTGGAGCTGGCATTGTACGCAAGTAGCTCTGTGAAACCAAGCGGAGGGGTACAAGGGAACCACGTGGGGATAACAGGCCTTTATGTATCCCCCAGGATCCAGCAGGAACATGCAAGAAAGGAGAGGAGGGAAGAGAAGGGGCAGAAGACGGATTATCTCCTGGCAAGCTTGCCAGCCGACTTGGCAAGAGCTGCAGCAGCGATGGCAATGCTGGCTGCACGCCCCGGCTCACAGCTACCTTGCCCCGGAGTGAGATACCCCTGTGTGCACAGGGCAGCAGCACCACCCTGTGCCCTGGGTAATTCATCTCATGCCCTGAGCTATCACAATCAGAATTTAGCCCCATTTGGTGGGCATCCACCCAGGGTTGAAGCCACCAGATACCACCGCTCACGGCAGGGTTAGAGCCCCGCCGGTACAGACCCCGTCCCAACCCCAGGGCTGCAGGGTGCCAGTCCAAGCCCTCAGTGTTACCATTGTGATCCCCAGACTCCAGACGTCCGACTTCACGTTGTAGCCCTTCTGGTTCAGCTCAGGGTTTATTCTTTCCGGCTGTAACAGCAAAACGGAAGATATTACAACTCTATCTCGTTTTCCCAGTGCAAACCCCACAGAGCAAATCTCTGGCTCAAAACCCAGGTTGGGTGGATTCCCCCAGCTCATGTCCCCATGGAGGCACAGTCTGAGGTTAAATCTAGCACTGATTGCTCCACACAATCCACATAAACTCTCCCCTCCAGCTCCTGAGTGAGACTTGTACTATTCCTGCAGCATGATCCCTGCCTCAGGAGCACAAGCTACCCACACAGATGCCACGGACGGCAAAGGGAAATTCATACTGACTTGAGAGGATGAAATTAAATGATCCTGCCAAGAAAAGCCTCAGCATTTTCTAGCCAACAAGGAGCAGCCCTTCCAACCACCACAACCAGCACCAGCCAGTCTTTTACCCTTCTGCAAATGGAAGGTGGCAGAGGAAGAATCTGCTGCGGGATTAACACACAGCAGGGCTTACGGGGAGGGTAATCCCATCCTTGGAGGACTCTGCTGAGTCAGGAAGCCCAGAGCACTCTGAAGTGGTTTCTATCTCAGGACAGAGGTGAACCAAGACTGATTTCTAAGCAGCAGCCTCTTCGAGTAAAGGCTGCCGGCTCCAGCCCGACAGGAGCACACTTACAGCCATGTACGGTTTGCAGCCGGCATCCATGGTCTTCGCAACCGAGTCCACCAAGTAGCCGCTGATCCCAAAATCGCACATTTTCACATGTCCTTCCTTGTTGATCAGCACATTGGAAGGTTTCACGTCTAAGAGAGAGAACACGAGAGGGCAGATTGGGCATTTGCAGAGGTATCACAGAGCCTGAGACAAGACAGGGAACCCCCACCAACCTGGGAGGGGAGCAGGCAGGCCCTAACACAAGGGAAGGGAGACAAAACCCCACCAGTCTCATTTCAATAAAAGCTGTTCACAAGTAAAACTATAACCATGCCCCTCCAGGCAGAACACACCTCCTCTCTAACGAGGCAGGTCAAAAGGTTGAAATAAGATGTTGAGGAGTTAATGCCCAGCTCCTTAGGAGAGATTTATGTGCCCAACATAGCCTTAAAAGCTCAACTCTACCAAGTTCTCAGGACAGCTTGTCTCATGCCCATCATGATCTGTCCACAACTACACAAGGAACTATACCAGGATGAAGAACAGGACCTGAGTGAGTGTTACAACTCCCATCTGTGATTTGCAAGGTCTCCTTCAGCCCTCACCTTGCTAGAACTACCCAGCCAGGAAGGCTAGGGGATTTTGTCCCCAAGAGCTGCCTTCAATGTATCTCTGTGCTCAAAGAGAGCTAGAGATGCCCATAAAAATACAGGTAGTGAGGAATTCAGTTATTATATTCAACCCTTCATCTGGAAAGGAGGATGAGAACAACATCATGCAAGCAGATGTATGAAGGATACTTCTCAGGAATAGGCCTCGGGCATCTAGATCTGTCCACAATGGTTCCAAGTACCATTAGACCCCACCGTAGGCATCCCAGAGGCACACACCACACATCTCCTCGGAAAGAGTCCTCACACAACTTATTTCAAGGCTAGATCTCCAGCCACATCACGTTAACCCCACTCAGCACCTACCTCTATGGATTACAGACAGTTTACTGTGCAGATGCTCCAGAGCTCGTACAATCTGGGAACAAACACAGTGAAAGAGTATCCGTTAATCACACACAGCACCAGCCTTCCACTGCAAACACACCACCCATTTCCACACGCTGTGGACTCGAACAGAGACCTCCAATGGGCTCAGGGGATGCACAAAACCATGTAAAAACCCAAGAGGCACTCACAGACACGGCCATTTTCCCCAGAATGTCTTCGGGGATGGTTTTCTTCTTCTCCAGCACTTTCTTGTAGAATTTATCTAGGGAGGTGTCCATTAGCTCCATGCAGATCCACACATCGCCCTGTGGACAGAGAAAAAGCAGTTGAGAGGGAATTCCCTGAAAATCCCCGGGAGCTGAAGGGAGAGGTGGGGACGAATGGACAAACAGACACTGCCCCTTCCACACAGGGCAAGCCAAGGTCCCTGCCGCGCAGCCACTGTTGGCCACACCACCAGCACACAGGCTCCGCACTGGATAGTGATGGGCACAGATGTCCCGGTACCACCAAAACCACCTGCGATGGCTCCCTTAGAGGGTCTACCCCAAAGCCGGTCCGGGCCATGGACAACATGCTTCGGCACCTGCCATGCAAGTGAGGAACGGAACCTGCTCAACACTGTCTGACGGAGACAAGCCTTTGACTTTAAGTCATGGCAGCATCTCAAACAGCCCAGATGGGCTGAAGAAAGCAGAGGTGGTTTGGGACAGTTTAGCGCCTTCAGCACAATCGCAGGGGCCCGTGCCATGCAGCCCACCAGCCATCCACCAGCTCAGTACCTCGCGGAAGAGGGCTCCATAGAAGGTAACAGTGTAGAAGCAGTCAACTGTCCTCATGGAGATGTCCAAGTCCATCAATAACCTCTTCTGCTCCTGAGTGTTCACAGTCGCTCGAATCCTCTGAGACAAATATGAAAGAAGAGGGGTTTGATGTAGGTGGGATAACACCAATATCCCTCAGGCTGATTCAGAGGGCCTGCAGTTCTGAGGCCAGAGCAAGTGTTTTGGGCTTATTTTGCACCCAGTAGAACCCCGGGAGATGCCCAGATTCCCTCTTCCAGACAGCACCTTAATGAATGACAAACCTTTGGCGAGCTCTTCAGCGGATGCAGGATCAGGCCAGCAGCCTGGACAGGCACTCTGACATCCAAACCTTGCACTATCTAACTGCAGGCACCAAGACTGGCTTTCAGAGCCTGCTGATCAACCCCACAGTGTCCAGCTGGTATCAGCCAGACCCTCCAACAGCCAAGCCACACTGGGGATACGAGGCTGCCAAACCGAGAACAAGCCTGTCCCCATTTTGCTGCGACCAGTGGAGTTCAGCAGAGTCTCTCCGCTCCCTTGGAGCTGCACGTCCCAACCTCCATCTCCCTCAGCAAGCAGCTGTCCTCACCTTCACAGCCATGATGGTGCCGCTCTGCGCATGCTGGACTTTCTCCACCACGCCGTAGGCCCCACGGCCCAGCTCCGAAATTGCCACCAGGTCATCAGCTTCCACCTCGAAGTTCTTAAAGAAGAGAGACAAAAATCAGACACAGGCACGCGTATCACCAGGGACATCAGCAGAGGTCCAATGCTTGCAGCTTGTTCATGCAGAGCACTTCCAAATGATGGTACCTACAGGGCTCCAACAGTTCCTATATGTACCAGGGGCACCACACTTAGAGAAGATGAATATGTTTTTTGCTCTGTTGAACCAGAGCCCAAACCCTCTCACCCCGTACTCACCAGGGCTCATTTAACTCCCCCTCTGCAGCTAGAGATCAGGACTTTCATCCTTTAAGCCAGGGCATGCTGCCACTGGAAAGGACACCAAAGGTTGGTGCCTCTCTGCCTGCTTGGGATTACCCACACAAGGGTATTTCTGCGGTTGCTGAACTACTTGCAGGATTTTAGCAGCGCCCGTGCCAACATGGGCAGCAGTCAGGAGCCTCTGCCACAGCTCCAAATCCCCGTGCGCAGCCAGGGATCCCCACCTCGCCCCACATCCCAAGAGATCATCAGTCACAAACACACCTATGTGTCTAATAACACCTCCGCCTGTGCAAAGCCTCTCTTAGATGGGATGGTGCATGCAGCAACCCAGCAACTCAATTCCTAATTATCAGGGAGTTCAAATGCGTTTTACCTGCTTTTGATACTTTCTCCCACCATCAGAAAGCAGCCGGCAAGGTAAAATGTGAGTTAGCACCAATGAAGGAGCTCAGGCGAGTGCAACTACATAAGTCTCGCTTCAAGGTGGAAAAAACCCATTGCCAGTGCTCAGACAAGTGAGTGCCCCACACAGCAGGGAGCCAGCGAGCTCCTGCGCAACCCACAGACAAGTTTCCCTAAAGACATGTTACCCTGTAATTGCCTGCTCTGCTGGGCAGGGCACAAACTGTTTGAGTGAGACAGGGGCTATTTTTGGACTCTGCGTTCATCTCTCCTGATAAGTCACAGGCCTTCTTTTAGCCAGGCTTTATCCAGCCTCCAGTTTTCCTCCGGTCTCAAGGAACAAAAATATAATACCAGGATGCCAAATTGCCCCAGTAGCCACAAAGGCAACGAGGGTGGGAAACATCCACAGCACAGCGCCGGATACCGTGCCTGCGAGCTACGCCCAGAGTGGAGAGGAAACAGCCTTTGGCATTAAGGAGCCAAGCTGGGAGATGTGGCTGCTGGGCTCCTGGCCAGCAAGCGCCCCTCGGTGCTGGCCACGGCACGGCCAGCAACGACCAGGTCCGATAGACCTTCCCGCCAGCCCTGGCTCCATTTATTTGAGCCAGAAGTGCCTGGCAGGCGGCTGAGGCAGGGAGCAAGAGAGGTCTGTGCTTGAGCTCAGCACTGAGCTATGCACTGCCCAGCACAGGAAGGTGCCGGCCCTTTCCTGGGCAGGACGGTGGATCCAGAAATGAGGACCGCGGGGCTAATGGGGATGCATCCAACCCCCCACCCTGCCGCCCCAGGCAGCTGGCAGAGGAGCGGTGCAGGCTCGCAGCTCCTGCAGGGACCTCCAGGAAGGATCTGGTGGTGCTTTTCAGGACACGTGTTCTGCACTTGTTCCAGGTTATTGTTTTGTGGTTTTTTTCCCTGGCATTTACCCTAAGGCTTCCCCAGAAGCTGGCGGTTCCCAGCACGCTCCAGGAACCAGCATTGCCCTGCCCAGGAACAGAGGCGATGCACCAACAGAGCCGGCGCTCCCCTCCCCAGCATCGCTCACCCCGTGCCCTGGGGGGTTGGAGCCGGTAGCGGGGACGCAGGGCATCACCTGCACGGATCCGATGGACCCGAGGTCGTCACCCACCCCGTGGCCCAAAGCTGGCTTTCTGCCCAAGCCCTCTTCCTCCATCCCACATTGTGTTACTCCAAAAATACCCAGACCAGACCCCTCCTGCAAACACCAGTGCAGGCAGAGCAGGGAAGGAAGCGAGTCTAGAGAGCTTTCCCCAAGCTACAGCACTCTCCCGTTTCACATGCCATGCCCAGGCTGTAAAGTGAGCATCTGTCCCCGAGCTATTAATACACACGACACAATGGCCAGAAAATGACACAGGCAGCAGGGTTGTCCCCTGGACCCAGCCAAAGCTTCCTCTCCTCTCCCATCTGTCCCCTAACCCTAAAACCTTGCACCAAGGCTGAGGGGCCCAGATCCCATCAGCTGAGCCACCTCCCAGCCTGGAAGGTAAGCAGCTAGATATAGGGCTGATCCGATGCATGGTATTTTTAGCTCATTTGCAAAGCCTTCTGCAGCCCAGGAGAGCCCGTAACAAGAGAATGAAATAAAAGAGAGACAGTGGCTATTTCTAGCAGTGTTTTTCACCAGGTCACTAGGAAAGGCTTTGGAGAGCCAGAGAGAAGCTTCGTGCCCAGCTTCTCCTGGGCCACGGGCAGTAACGCAGCCCTGTGGGTCAGCAGGACAGAGAGGACTCTGTTTGGGACAGCCAGGGAGCGCGGTGAGGCCACGCTGATTTAGGGTGGATGGGCTGGGTCCATGCATTCAGACCGAGGTGGCCAGTGGGGCTGTCAAGGGACCACTGTGATCTCCCACTACAGACAAAACAGCACACCCAGCCTTTGACACCCACCTGCCTTGCAGGGACTGCCCGCAGGCAGGAGAGACCAGCCAGCGAGCACACGGGCTCAGAGACGAGCCATCTTGCAGGCAGGGTGACATGTTCAGCTCCCCAACAGTCACTGCTCTAAATACACACAGACACCCCATTGCTCCACAGGGCAAAGGTCCTGCTGTGGGATGTCTCGTCCCTGCAAAAATGCATGCCATGAAACTGCATCAGGACGGCACTGTCCTTCTCATGGGGTGCTCTGAAATCTCAAGATCCGATTTAACAGGTTGTCAGGCATGATTCATAAAACTCCCCATACAAGGGGCAAACAAAATTGGAAGCAAGCAAAAAAGAAACCACATTGACACGTACTTTATCTCCGATGGTAATGAACGCTCTGGAGTCCAAGTTCCTCGGGGGCCTGCAAGGAGAGAGAGAGAGAGAGAGAGAGAGAGTGTGAACTCCTGGGGAAAGTGCAGCTTTCACTCACAGGAAGAAAAAAGCAAGAGACAGCAGAAAAGTGCAGGCGAGGGGAAGAGTTGCTCTGTCTTTCAGAGACCCCTAATTCTATCTACAGGTGAGATGTGGCAAGAAGAGGGGACACGCTGCAGCTAGCAGGAGGTAGGCCGGGGGCCTGCAAGGAGAGAGAGAGAGAGAGAGAGAGAGAGAGTCAGCAAAAAGCCCAGCTTCGTTAACCCTCTTGGCCAGAGCCAGGTTTCAAGATCCTTTGAGCACTTTCAGCCGCTGCTTTCCACTGTGTCTTATTGTCATGGGTTCAAACCAGCCCCCTCCAAACACTCACAAATGCTTTAATTGTGCCAGTAACACCTCAGCCCACACCCATGAGGCACTTGCTGCACGCAGTCAGCGAGAACCCCAGAGTGTCAGCTAGGTGAAACATGCATCAAACCAACAAGCTACAAAACCATCCCTGCTCAAGAGCCTGAGGAACCGAGACCGACGGGATGAGACGTTTCTGTGGCAGAGCAGCTCAGCTGTCATGTTTTGACAGGCAGGTGTTGTAACAGGACAGCCACGTAGCCCAAAACGCCGAGGGAACAACAGGTAATTCCTCACCCGTGAGTCATTTGTGTACACTCGCAGGCCTGTTTCAGGCAGTGTGGCAGGCAGAGCAGGCAGCACTTCAGTGTCACACGTTGCACAACACTGTGCAGGCGAAAGTCTTCCTTTATGGCTTTTTTCCTCATTGCTGCTCACTTCCCATTACGGGCAGCACGGTACTTTTAGAGCCGACACGAGTGTTTTGTCCCTCGTGCCTCGCTTCTCTGCTCTCCCCATCCCCTGGGACCTTCTAAGAGTGGAGATCGCCCAACTGGTTTAGCCTCCCAATTCCCATCAGAGCAATACAGCAACCTCCAGCTTCAAGGAAGTACTTCAGGCTCACAGCAAAAGCCTTGCACTGCGCAAATATTTGCACTGCAGCTTGAAAAGCACAGAGAAAAGGAGTCGCGGATAACTTGCACCAGCTTTTACACGAGTGCTCTGGGCATGCAAGCGCCCTGCAAACTCCGGCATGACACTTTCTCCAGAGGAAATTCAAACACCGATAGGAGCAGAGGCAGATGCACCCATGGGAGAAGGAGGTGGCTGTTGCATGCAGGGTGCATGCTAGGCTGCACAGCATTAATGGGCAGTTCCCCTGGCTCCCCCTCCGGCAGATCTGCCCTATCTACCTGGGGTTTTCAGTAGCGATATTTCCCCTTCGGCGATTTCACTGCTCTCCTGGAGTTGGGAGGCTCTCTAGAAAGGGTTTCTGGAGCAAACAAGGCTCAGCGGTGGAGGCGCAGCCCAAGGTGTTTTGGAAGAGCACCATGGAAGAGGAATTTTAGCCGTCTGTTCTTTGTCAAACCAAGCGCCACTACCTTGGGCTCTCCCCCACAGCATAACAAGCATCAGCCACACAAAGCACGCAGGGCAGAGAGAAATTCCAGTGCCTTGAGATACTGCTGGCCACTGGCCCCCGGCACCAAGCAGCACAACAACGTAAGATGTCTGTGTCCTCCTCCCACCAAGGCGAGGAGCTGCAAACAACTCAAACTAGCCCTGACGCACAGGTCAGGGGGAGGATGCCCTGCCGTGCGGAGCATCACCCAACCCTCTCCCCCCTGCTCCTGCCGTGGTCCAGCTGCCACCACCTCTTCTCTTCCCCTGCACTAAAAACCTTCCCCTCTTCCCTCGGACAGATTTGCTCTCTCCACCACGTCTTTGCCCTTTGGCACCGGCACAGCCGTGGCAGAAAGACTGGAGAGTCTCCCAGCCTTTGCCTTTCAGCCATTTCAAATCAAACAGGCACCTCCCAGAGAGACACACACGGTGCATGTGTCTGCACGCACATGTGCGGATGTGTGTAATTCCTTCTCATCACCCGCTAGCCAGAGCTTAAGATAGAAAAATTAACTATGCTGATTTTGTGAAGTCGTCGTGGGCCATTCCCCTTGAGGCGGCGCTGAATCCAGCTCCAGAGAACCGCCGGCTGGCTTTAAGCAGGAGAGACACTTACGTTGTGTTGGCAACGGGCTGTTTGATGGGGATACATGTTATCCTCAGTTCCCGTGTCTTCTTGCTTTTCACTGGAAGAGAAGATGCACACATGAGCAACTGGCATTTCTACTTTTCTTCCTTCAAGCATCCTCTTGCCTGCAGCCACCAGGTAGGGAAGGCAGGGCCTGGATCCCCTATGCTGTGCAGCTACGGCAAGATAAGGAGGTCACAGTGCTCAGGACCATTTGCCCAAAGTTTCAGGGAAGAGCCAGAAGCACAAGTGGGTCTCTGACCCTGTCAAGCACTTGCCTGCAGAAATACCCAGCGGAACATTGACAGATACCATTTTCCAAGTCTCACAGCCAAGCACTGCCTTGCAGTGCTCCTCATACACCCCAAAAGTGCTCTTTACCCTTCATGGCCATTAACAGTCCCCTCTCTTTGGGGATTTTAATTGCTGATGTTCAGGAGATGGGTTAAAGCTACGATTTCTGCTGGGCACTTACCCGGTTTGTGCGGCTCCAAGGATCCTTTGGAATCTGAAAGAGAGAAGGGAGACGCCAGCTCAGCCTTCATGCTCCAGACCCGCCGGGTACCAACCCTGTATCCCTCACGGTCCCACGCACGGCCCAAGGAGAGCCCTCCCGGCTGGGCTGCAGGCAGAGGGAGGCAGACGGGCTGCCGGAGCCCAGCCCAGCAAAGCCTGGCCCGATCCCCGTTTCTCCAGCCACAAGAGGTCCCCACGCCATTAGTGATGCACAGGGCTCCCGAAAACTCTCCCTGTCCGGATCGTCCTTGCCCCACAGCCCTCCGGCCCCCACCCAGGCTTTCTGGGGAAGAGCCAGACCCGTTCTGCAGCACAGGTCGGATCTGGCACGGAGGGCGACGGCCATCAGACCTCAAGCGAAACCAAGGAGTTAGCCCCAGCAGGAGAGGGGACACCCCACACGCAACGAGGGGAAACCAGGGCAAAACCAGACAGGAGCTGACTGAAAAAGCCAGTAGCGAACCGGCCACAAACGCAGGCTTGCAGAGGCTGAGACCCCGCCAGACAAGGCCCGACCTCATCAGGGGTGACTGGCGAGAGGATGCTCTCTTCCCTCTCCTCCCCAACTCCAAACAGCACTGAGATAACATAACCTACTGCTGCAGAGGGAAACGGGGTTCAGGCAGGTCCAGGGCAGGCCAAGCACTTGCAGATGAAACTACAGGGACAAGAGATAACCAGCATGGGGGGGGGGGGGGCGGCGGGCCGGAAAGGGGA